CTCAATTTTCTCGGATTCACTAATCTTATCTTTAAAGTCAGGAATTTTTATCTGCTTACTTTTCTCAATTGTTAGAATCAAATTTAAACTTGTTTTTTGTTTTCACCAGCCTTGCCTGTTTTGGGTTTGGGACCTCTTTTCTTATTATTTTTTTTTCTTGAAATCAAAATCAAATTCTACAATAGTTTATAATTTTTTTAGATTATAATTTTTTATAATCTAAATTAAGGTGGGTATTATTATTATTATTATTAAAATAAAAGTTACTTAATACAGCCAGACATGATTTTCTTTAGTGGAGGTTTTCTTTAGTAGAAAAATCGATGAGTGAAGTTTAGGAAAAAATTGCCCCTTTTTTTATCCTCAGCTACTGATCTACAAACCTTGTTAGACATGACGTTGAAACTAAAATTAGAGCACATCCATCTTCAAAGTAACTGTTATTGACAGATTAGGTTATTTCGTAACGAATATCACTAGGTCAGGTCATAAGGAAAAGTTTGTTTTCTTTGTCTTGTCTTTCGAAAGTAAAAGCTATTAACTAGGATGCACCTGTTTTTGTGTGAGAGTCATCGACCTTGGAGAGCTGATTCCTTTTTTTTAACCAATATCCAAAGATTGTTTTTTGTTAAATTTATAAGAACTAACACAATGACAACAAAACTTTCTAAGGAGTGAGAGGGTTAATATAATATTTTTTTTGAATATAGCATGGAAAATATTGTTGTGGCTGACGAGAAAAGTGCAGTTGCTGGATATAGAGCTATGATTAGAGGGGTGAGGAATTATGATAAAAATAAAGGAACTCCTCTAGTCATGGCTGTTGTCTATGAGAAGGTCTATATCCCATACAGGGTTAGAGATTGCTTTTTCTTAGCCAGCATCAGTGGGTGATGATGACATCAAAAGATCAGAGACCTGCTGCTGGAGCAATTGCACCCAAGAGAACGAAGTTTTTACCTACTATCACGATCTAGCGGAAGGACCTAGCTATCTGCAAAAACCTAGTGATATTAGTGATGAGTCTTCATCCAAGGATGAGGATGAGGTGGAGCATGCTACCTCATTTAAGGATAATAATTCTTGCACCTCCTCCTCATCCGAGGATGATAATTTTACTTCCATCTCAGAAGAAGAAGTATCTCCACGAAAAAGATAGAGCTGGAGGCCGTAAAAGAGGTGTGTATTAAATAAAACTTTATATTTTTGAGTATTGATAACGTTATTAGCAAAAGTAAAAAGTACACAATTCTGTTGGATATAATCGATATTATATCTAAGCTTAACTCATATATAAAAACAGCTCGATATTCACAGCGAATCAGATGATTATGGTTTTACAATATCCATTATATTTTCAAATTTCCGAATAAATAGTGCTAACACACAATTTTTTTTTAAAAATATATTAAAAACATAATAGGTTAACTTAATCCGCACCAGTAACATGTCCTATCAAGTCAAATGAGGAAAATCCGGTTTCCAATTTTTTGGGTCAAGCTGAATGCACGTGTTTTTATTAAGGGTTATTCTGTACTAGTATTTTCCTCCTAGTGTAGTATAAACAGTGCTTTAATTTTCAAGATATAATTTTGAATAGCAGATTTTAATAGTAGAAAATGACAACAGTTGATTGCTGGAAATTAGCAAAAATGAATAGTAAGTTATTTTATGTGTGGTTAGTATTATATATACATATAAATTTTTATTATTTAGATAATCCAGGGGTTATGATTGATTGTGAGGTGTTTAGATTTCAAAATGAGCCCTTCTTACAATGCTACTATGGGTTCTTAACAAGGCAGATTGGATATGTAGGGTTTAATTCGGAAGATTTTGGGATTGTTAATTTTTCTACTTTGAAATAAAATGGAGGAAATTAACACCCAGTGACAAATAAACCCGTCAGATTTTGTTATAGCTTGCATAAGCTGTATTTATCATATCTCGGTAAAAATGATGGCAATCAGTGGATGCATCATGAAAAAATTGAATTCACTATCAAAAATATTTTCAAAAATACAGTTTTTTTTTCAAAATGGAGAAATAAAAAAATGTTTAGTAAAGAGGGGAAACAATGTTCATAAAATCTACTGGTTAAATGTTGAAAAATTTGGGGGTACCGAAATCCGCGAAAATTAAAATACCATGTTTCCCTCATTACAACTTTATCGAGCACTGTGCGTTATGTGATGTCTTTTCATACAAATATTATACGAAAACAGGTAAAAATATATGATTTTGTTTTTTAAATATTATCGCATTTCAGAAATATTCAATATATATTTTTTATTATATAGAATTATCAGACATATTTTGACAATCATCATGGAAAAAATGTAAATTTTTTGGATAAAAAACACAATTTTTATATTTTAAATAGATTTTTTTAGTGAATTACAACACTTATTATTAATTAGTACAATCAGTTTTGATAAACGAAAAATTATTTTTTAGAAAATTTTTAACAAATTCACCATTATAAAATTTATCTGTTACATGTAGTTCTGATAAGCATAGAATTTTATTAATTTTATATAAAAAATATAAGCAGAAATAACCACAGTTTAATGAAAATAAACTTTGATGAATAATAGTATTCCAACAATATTTTTTTGAATTTCGTTTTATAAATCTGATGACTCTCGCATTCCTTGGATTTAATTTTTAACTGTCGTAATAAATGCAAGAATTTTTATCTTTCGTAAAAATACTGATACCCAATGACTTCCCAGCTTATTTTTTCATCTAAATTAATTATAAAAGATTGGTTATTACCAACTCGAAATGGTAGATCGTCCGATGCAAACAACCCTCTGAAATTTCTTTTTATTTTCGGATTACTCGCTGCTAATTTCCACAACGTAATGGTATTCATTAATAATCGACAAATACGGTTCGTGAATGATCGATTTCTAACGTATTATTATATTCTAGCAAACAAATAACGTTTACAGTTTCTGGTATTGCCTTCGAGATCTTTAATTCAATGCCGAGATTTCCTTGCTGGTTCACGCTAATATGGCTTTTAGATCCCAATTTATCAGGTGTAAGATCGAAACAATATAAAGTAAAATAATCTGGGTACTCGTTGCATGATATATTTGTAGATTTGTGATGATGAATACATTCGGTATCTTCGATTAACTAGATAAAATTTTATTGCTATAATCTGAAGTATAGGGTTTGGAATGAACCATTTGATTGTATTTTGATAAACATATATAATTTAAATTATAATTTTAAAAATTAAAATGATTACGCTTTACATTTCCATTAAATACAGAATTAGAAACTAATTTGAGAGTTATTCTATAAGGTAGTTGGGCGATAACAACAATAGATACACTTGTAGACTAAATCTTACTGGTTAACTTAAAAAACGTTAACATCTATCCTACGTAACGGTATTTTGATTATACCGGTTTGTAACATCTTTTCTATTCCTATCTGAATTTAGGAACAAACATCTACTTCATTAATTTTTAGCGATGCGTTTTAATAATAATTTTATAGTCGTCGTTATTTGCCACTAGCGCAAGACTTTCTTTAGATCTATCCAATTTAATTCTTAGGTCTACATTGTTCGTTAAAAGCTTAGGCTGATTCGCTAAATCGATATGAAAACGCCCCATTTAATCTATTATTCTACTTTCTTTGCTGATGTTAAACCTTTTATCTAATTCATAGTTAGTATTATTTTCATGTAACAGATTTATCGAATCCACGTGTTCAGCAGTATACAGTAGATCCCCCTATAAAACCGTTTCCTATAGTTATGATTCCTATAAAAATTGTGGCATTGTCCGTAAACAACGGTAAAAATAACTCCTATAATACGTAAAACGTCATCGGGCAGCCGAACTACTTACCTGCCGTCCGTAGCGCCACACTACGGAGAGATTTATATCGTCTGGACAGTATTATATAAATTATATATAAATTAGGTACTGTACATATAATTATATATTAACTTAATTTATTGTAACTTTATTATAATTAAATATATATTTTTCGCCGTCTAGCGTCACGCTACGGCGAGTTAGGCGACCTATCGTCTGTTCAGTACTGTAATTTTATACATTTCTTGTGAAAGAAACATTTCTTATTCAACGGCCATAAAAATTATTTATATTAAGGATGTCTCCAAAGGTCAACGAAGTTTTCGCAGAAAAATAATATCAGAAATCGCGGCCGCGGTTTGATGCGCTGTTCCGCGACGAAACCAAGCTTTAGCAACGGGCGTAGTCGAAGGTACACACTCGGTAAGCAATCCTACAATTTTTTGTTTATAACGTAGTTTATACGGATTATTTTCAAAAAAATATACGTATTTTGGAAATGTTGAGTCGAATTACTCTAGAATCGATTAATTTTATGAAAGAAAACCTTTCAAACAGCCGTAGTCCGTAAACTATGATTCCTACAAAATTGATTCATAAAGAACGGAACGTATCTACCGTCTTATAGGGGGATCTACTGTATTTAAAAAATAACGCGCTCGTTAAAAAAGTTTTTTGCACTTCTTTCAAATTAAATAGCAAGGCATCTAATAAACTTCGGTAAGGGTAATTAACATGCGAAATTACAGGTTTATCGTTTAAAAAAACAGTACATTGAGAAAAAAACTATTTAAAAAATAATTAACTGGAGTAATTTTTTCTTCTGATCCGAGGTTTGATTCGTTTTTCTTTACGATTTTCGCTTCAACACATAGATAAATCGAATGTAGATCCATATAATACTCACCCGATCCTGATATAAGAAACTCGATAGGTGCTCTACTGGCAGAGGTCATTGCAACAGGATAAGTGATAACTTCATAAATATTGTCGATTGCTAGTTGAATTGAAACGGTATAAGTAAGATCAATTCGGATTTGGTGCAGGCACACGAATGGACATTGTTTTTCAATTACCAACAATATCGTCAAGTTCTTGCATTTTCTTTTCTGACTAAATTAATTTTTTCGGTCATTTTCTTTTTATACCCAATTTTGTCTACACTTTTTTAAGCACGTCTTTTTTAATTTCAGATCGTACATGTTTAAAACGATTTTTTGTAGATTCTTTAAACGACTTCCCTCCAATTACATCTGGATCGACATTCGATGCAAATTTTAAAGCTTTGCTCCCTAGATACTTTCCTACTTCACTAAGAATAGGAATAGATTTACGAAATAAATCCACGAAAAATCCGTATCCTCTCTGTATTTGCAGTCCAGCAAAATAAGTTCTTTTCCGAATTGTCGTGTAAATAATGAAAAATCGTGTATCAGTATCGCTCCTCCTGCTTGATTGCAGTAATAATCTATACAATCTCGCGGATCGAGCTTCATTTTCTACTTCACAAAGACGAACTAACAATAATAAATAAAATATACCAATAAGGGGCCGTCCATAAATCATGTAAGAGCGATATTGGCCATTCTAGACCCCCACCCACCCCTGTGTAAGAAAAAGTAATATTTTCTTTGATCCCCCCTCCCCTTCCCTATCTTACGTAATATTCTGGCATGATTTTATAAAAAGATTTTAACCAAAAAAATTTTTTTATAAACCTTAAAAACCTTAGGTCCAAAATATATAATTATTAATTAGTTAATTAATATGTACTATTATTTATAAAAGACTTTAGGTGATCAAATTTAAAAATATAAAAATTTAATGAATTTGAATGAACAATTTATTTTAAGAACTTTATTTTTTAATTATTAACAATATTATTATTATTATTATTATCATTAATCAACGTCAAAATATTTATTTTTATATTAATTTTAATTTTCACAAAAGACGCAAAAAACTTTGCCAGATCGACTAGTTAGTGCACGTGTAAACAGAAAAGTCATACAAAATAAAACAAGAGAGAATAGAGAGAAACCACATTTCGTTGCCATATTGATTACATCTTGTCTAAGGCCAAGAAAATAAACTACATGCTGCTAAAATGTGATAGGTGCACCTGGGGACTAAATAATAAAGCTTATAAAACTCTATATGATGGGGCAATACAACCAATGCTATTTTACGCAGCCTCTGGCTGTGGTCATGTAACTAGTAAAAATTCAGTAGCAAGTAAATTACATTCTCTTCAAAGCCAGTTTGCCACCAGAATTATAAAGTACTGCAGAACTGTTTTTACTAATTCCTCTCTGATACTAGTAGAGCTCCTTCCTTTGCCACTACATATTATAGAAAAGGTTCTAAACTGCATCAGAACTACAAACGTCAAGGCTCAACAACGGTCTCTACTCCAATCTACAGCTGTTCATACGCTACCACATTGCAGTTACCCTACTATCTCTGATCATCATTCTGTAAACAAGGTTTTTTGGTGTCATCTGCTTTCTCCGTGGATAATCTTGCAGGCATCAATATCTACACAAATGGGTCCAAAAGCTCCCTTTTTGTCGGCTCAAGTATCTCTATCTTCCTCCAATCTTACATATTTTGCTAAAAATATGTTAGAAGGTACAGATACAACCCATACACCTCCATCTATCAAGCTGAACAAGATGCTGACTACCAAGCTGTTNTTTTACTAATGCCTCTCTGATACTAGTAGAGCTCCTTCCTTTGCCACTACATATTATAGAAAAGGTTCTAAACTACATCAGAACTACAAACGTCAAGGCTCAACAACGGTCTCTACTCCAATCTACAGCTGTTCATACGCTACCACATTGCAATTACCCTACTATCTCTGATCATCATTCTGTAAACAAGGATTTTTGGTGTTATCTGCTTCCTCCGTGGATAATCTTGCAGGCATCAATATCTACACAGATGGGTCCAAAAGCTCCCTTCTTGTCGGCTCAAGTATCTGTATCTTCCTCCAAACTTACATATTTTGCTAAAAATATGTTAGAAGGTACAGATACAACCCATACACCTCCATCTATCAAGCTGAACAAGATGCTGACTACCAAGCTGTTCAGTGGGCCACTTCACTACCAAACAAAACTCTGTCTATCAACATTTATAGTGATCCTGTCTGTCCTGAAAGCTCTATTAAATCCCAATTGCGATAGAATAAAATCGCACATATCCAGCACCATATTAAAAATCTTGTAAATAAGATAATTTTTATATTTGTTCCTGGTCATACTGGCGTACTAGGAAATGAAAACGCCAACACTGAGGCTAAGTCAGCTGCAAAGGAAACTGACTCGGACTACACTCACATCCCTCTCTCACGTAGCAGCCTTAAAAATTATATTCATGACAACGCTATGCGAAAGTGGAATCAGTAAAAGTAGTTGAGCAGTAAAACTTGTAGAATAACACAACTTTATTTTCCTAGTGTTGAATGTAGGTTCTCATCACTACTTAGGGATTTAATGTTTGCTACTGCTCAACTATTTACTGAGCATGAATAATTTTAGAAGCTACCTGGCGATGTATAACCGGGCAGAAACTGCTTCTTGCTTTTGATCTACAGAAAACCTAGACTTTGTTGAGCACGTGATTTATCATTGTCCAATTTATAATCAACATACACTTATTCTGAAATCAGAAATCTTTACTCTTGGTTTCAAGTAACCACGTCCACTTAATAAGCTTGTTCAGAAGTCACTGTTTGATGCTTTTTACAACTATGTTCAAAAAAATATGGAAGAAAAGACTATAATTTCTAGTTTTACATTTTAGTTTTCACTAAAAGCCGAATACTAATTTTATGTTTACTTTGTATCGTGTATTTTAGTTTATGTATTCTTAGTGTTAAACATCCATAGGAGTGGTGCATAGGGTTGCCACCTGTCCGGGTTTGACCCGGAGACTCCGGGATTGAGTGAGTTATCTCCGGGCTCCGGGGTTAATTAATATTTCTCCGGGTTGTGCAAGTTGAAATGAATATGTACAAAATTATATGCAAACCGTCGCATATATTTCTTCCCCCGTGTACCGAATTACTAGTGTGGTAGTCGTTGACTTAAAGACAGTAGCGTAGCGTGGGGGGCGGCAGGGGAGTCCGATTGAAATGAGCACAGAATAGTGTTACCATCTGACTCGCTGTCCGGGAATATCGTGCGTAACCTGCCAACCTTTTTTTATTGCTTGTACTGTTCATTCGTAATCATATACACCTCCAATATCCAATAGAGCTAGGTCACTTGCGTTACTCCAATCCAAGTCTCCCTAGTCGCTAACTGTAACTGATTTAGAACCAGCATGCACTGCAAATTATTCTTCGCATTGCAAAATGATATACGCATGCGTCAGGAACTTCTGTTCGAACAAACCTCACCTGCCGTCCGGGTCAGCGATTTTAAAAAGGTGGCAACCCTAGTGGTGCACTTATTCTAATAAAAAACAAGAGAAAGAAACCACTACACGGACTTTCTCCCATAACAAAAAATGTGTAGAGCATGAATCTGCTAGCGTTATTACTCTATCACGTCAGACGAGACAACGAGCGTTCTTAATAGAAACCGCCAAATTGAAGCCGAATTCAAAACGCCACCACTCAACGAGATCAAAAAATAAAAATAAGAATATTACGTAAGACGAGATTTATTACCCCCTACCCCTGAGTAAGAAATTGTAAGAAATCCTTGACCCCCACCCACCCCAAAACACCTTACGTAATTTATGGACGGCCCCTTACAAATAACCAAATTTATTTTCTGTTGCTTTTTTATATGCATCTATGAAAAAATTAACTTTTCTCACAAAAGCATGATGACATAAACAAATCACCTGACTCTCATCACGATTATTTTTAAATAAAATCAAATAATGTGTATTTAAACTTATATCTATCATTATCTTATTTTTAGGAAACAAATTTTGCATTATTAAAATCAGACTTACATTACAGTGATGAGATTCTGTCGTAACAAAAATGCCGTTTTTGGAAACATTTCATGCATGAAATCATCGATTATTATCAAATTCTATCCTTGAACAGATTCATGTAAGCTGTATGTAAATGTGATATCTTTTTCTTCTTGAAAAAACGGTAAATATACACAGTATATTTACCGTTTTTTCAAGAAAAAAATAATATCCACCATAAAAAGGATATACACCATAAAATCTTCTTCGGAGGATTTTCATAAATTATGTCGTGAATTACCTAACTAATGTAGTTTTTCCAGATTGGGAAGGACTGGCAATTACACAAGTACTGGGATGTTTGAAATACGTATTTTATCAACCATGTCAACCTTAGAAAATTTAGAAAACTTATATTTTATTCCTGGACTTATCTGTTTAAACACTGCTAAAATTTTCTTATCATTTTCTAAACATATTTCTCTTATGTCTTCCGCACATTGTTTGAACGAACCGTATAAGCCATTACATACTTCGTTAATTCCTCCATTTTCGCCAACAATTATAAAACCATATTTTCCTTCTCATTTCCGAATATCTTTGACTATGAAATAGCGGAGGATAAATGGCAAACTATCGGGAACATCAAATGAAAAATTTTTTACCGCAGAAACGCAAGAGTCCAAAGTAGGGTACAGAATTGGGGAAGCTAAGTATATTTTATAATCTCTGTAAGTAACGAGAAAATTGTACTCCCCATGATCGCAGCTTAAATGTAAAACTAATTCTCTTTAAAAATGTAAGTTATATAAAATACTAACCAATCATATCTTTCTAAAAAACTAAGAACCAATCATATTTTCTTTTTTTGAAAACTAGCAACTAATCGTTTTTTTTAAACTCCAATTGTATATTATCCACAGATTAAAAAAAACTCACATTGTCGATGGAGCATGTTTATCCATTGAACAAAGAGAATAATGCGGGGTTGACACGACTTAGTTCACGGTACAAACTTTACAGCCGAGGGCACCGATGTTAAAAAATTTTTTAAGTTGTGTTATCTTTTTAATTCGATTTGTATTATTACTTTATATTAAATTCTTATACAAATTAAATATAATCTATACTGTATCGGTCTTTATTGTGCTATAATTGAGTTTGCATCGTTACTTTATGTTAAATTCTTATCTGGTGTCGACATTTTTTTAATCGTTACTTTAAATTAAATTTATATACTAATTAATACTAATTAATTTTATACTCCAGGTGTATCAAATGTAAACTACTATTGCATATTGGTTCAATTATAGAACGATTATAAACGTCCCAGAAAATTGATCAAATTGAAAACAGTCCATTTAATTTTCAGCAATTCTCATCATTCTCAGCGGTAAGTGTTATATAACAATTACTATGGCTGTTAAAATACTGAATATAAATAGGGTTTGCTTGCAAAATCCCTGCAAGGGAAGTCGATTGTAACAGCTAGTTGTTATATAAAATTCTCAAGCAGTGGTGAAATGAAGAAGCCGAAAATTTTGCATCTGCAACAACGAACAAACTTTTATTCCATGACTAATCACTCACAAAAAACTAAAAGCTTTAAAGATTGATTTTCATATTATTAGAAACATCGATTGTATAGAATCGCCTTATTGTATGAAGTATATGGGCAAATATATTGGATAGATTGAAAACCTCTTCTGCCCATAACCCGAAATTACTCGGGCTGCACAAGATTCAGCGCAGTCCATAGCCAGAGTTATCTCAGGCATAGGCCTTAAAGGCCTCATAAAAAAGGCCTTATAACTTTTCCAAAAATGTATGGATCAGCATATATATATTGTTATCTGTGATCTCTGCAAATTTCATGTATTATTTATGCTGCANCTATTGTTTAAGTAATCGTGCTATCGTTTTTATAAAAGATTTTTTTATCAAATTTATTAAAAATCGTTTCAAACTTTTGTTTAAGTAATCGTGCTATCGTTTTTATAAAAGATTTTTTTATCAAATTTATTAAAAATCGTTTCAAACTTTTGTTTAAGTAATCGTGCTATCGTTTTTATAAAAGATTTTTTTATCAAATTTATTAAAAATCGTTTCAAACTTTTGTTTAAGTAATCGTGCTATCGTTTTTATAAAAGATTTTTTTATCAAATTTATTAAAAATCGTTTCAAACTTTTGTTTAAGTAATCGTGCTATCGTTTTTATAAAAGATTTTTTTATCAAATTTATTAAAAATCGTTTCAAACTTTTGTTTAAGTAATCGTGCTATCGTTTTTATAAAAGATTTTTTTATCAAATTTATTAAAAATCGTTTCAAACTTTTGTTTAAGTAATCGTGCTATCGTTTTTATAAAAGATTTTTTTATCAAATTTATTAAAAATCGTTTCAAACTTTTGTTTAAGTAATCGTGCTATCGTTTTTATAAAAGATTTTTTTATCAAATTTATTAAAAATCGTTTCAAACTTTTGTTTAAGTAATCGTGCTATCGTTTTTATAAAAGATTTTTTTATCAAATTTATTAAAAATCGTTTCAAACTTTTGTTTAAGTAATCGTGCTATCGTTTTTATAAAAGATTTTTTTATCAAATTTATTAAAAATCGTTTCAAACTTTTGTTTAAGTAATCGTGCTATCGTTTTTATAAAAGATTTTTTTATCAAATTTATTAAAAATCGTTTCAAACTTTTGTTTAAGTAATCGTGCTATCGTTTTTATAAAAGATTTTTTTATCAAATTTATTAAAAATCGTTTCAAACTTTTGTTTAAGTAATCGTGCTATCGTTTTTATAAAAGATTTTTTTATCAAATTTATTAAAAATCGTTTCAAACTTTTGTTTAAGTAATCGTGCTATCGTTTTTATAAAAGATTTTTTTATCAAATTTATTAAAAATCGTTTCAAACTTTTGTTTAAGTAATCGTGCTATCGTTTTTATAAAAGATTTTTTTATCAAATTTATTAAAAATCGTTTCAAACTTTTGTTTAAGTAATCGTGCTATCGTTTTTATAAAAGATTTTTTTATCAAATTTATTAAAAATCGTTTCAAACTTTTGTTTAAGTAATCGTGCTATCGTTTTTATAAAAGATTTTTTTATCAAATTTATTAAAAATCGTTTCAAACTTTTGTTTGACAAATTTGACTTCTGTAAAATTTTTTAAAACACTATTGGATGTTTTCTATGACATCAGCAAGTTTTTTGTTATTTATTCAGTAGAATGATTTTTCCATACCTTTTTTCAGTCCTCCTGTATTTTAATAGCATAAAAATCGAAAATCTTGTTTTATATTTGAACAGATGCAGTAAGTTAGCTTCCCTCCTGCTTCAAACCAATATTTTCCTGAGGCATACAGGAGAACTACCGGGGAAAGCTGACACCAGCTGTTCTCAAGGTCAATCAGTTTGTTAACAATGTAGACTGCACGGGTGAAATTTCACGCTTTGTTAAATGAATGAATAACAATTCATTCAGCTATATTTTTCAAAAAAACATTTATTTTAAATTATTTTAAATTTTTTATATACGATTTTTTAAAAAACACTTTTTGAAGGGGTTTTTATTTTACTGGAATTATTTCCCTGCAATTTTTTTATGTCAGATTCGCGTTTAAGTGGAAATAATTATTTAATATAAAAATTTCATTTTTTGTAAATTTTTAGTGGCATTTGAAGCGGAACAAAGGTACTGAAGCAGTTAAAGAATTATTTAAAGATTATTTTTATTTCATTTACTTGTCACCAATGGAAATGCAAACGTACAAAATTTTAATAAAGAGAGACATGAAAATCGAAATCGATGCTACTGGCCAATTGATGAAAGAAATTATAGAACAAACTGGAAAAATTCAAACATATTTTTCTCTACCAAATCATAATGGAGGAGGTAAATCGTATTTCACTAGTACAGCATATTATTTCTGAAAAATATGATCTTACGATAGACACGAAATATAAAAAAAATTACACCAAGTAAAAATGTATGATAATTTAGAAAATTTTTCTTATTACCTGGTAGTTTTTCTCTATCAGAATCCACAGTGCCAGATAAAAAAAAGGAAAAAGAAAATATAATTTTTTGGCAAATTTTGCATTTTTCAATTGCTTATATTTCATCAACCACATTACAGAGAGTGTGCTAAATCTCAAAATTATCTGAGAAAACAATTTTATGTCGAATGATATATTTAAGATGATTTCAGGGCTTCAAGCACTTGAAATAATTTCGAAGTGAAGAAAACCATAAACTTTGATTCCTGTATGTGTAGTCAGTTAGAGAGACTTTTTTACTTGACAGGGAGTGACTGCCATGACTCCTGATTTAACATATCTTTTTGAGCAGCCGTTCCATCGATATATCTAAATATATAAAATTACTTGTCCTGACTGACTGACTGACTGAATAACTGACTGACTCATTCATCATCGTTCAGAGCAAACCACTGAACCTAAAGAGGTAAAATTTGGTACACAGTCATGAAAACGCATACTAAGAAGTGATTTTTCAAAATTTTCTCGCTGGGGGAGAGGGAGAGCATTAAGGCTTAACTGTAGAGCAGATTCTACTGTACTATTTTTGATGCAATTTTTTGTTTCCTGTGATGATAACTTAATTTCCAAATGTACAATATTTACATATTACGACTTTTTAACTAAATCTTTTAACCGTTATAAATTTGAATTTATTACTTCATATTTGTTCGATTATAGAACGATTGCAAACGTTCTAGAAAATTGATCAGATTGAAAACGTTTGACTGCATTAGAAGATTCTCAGTAATAAGGGGTATGTGTAACACAATAATTTTATATATTTAGATTGTTATAAATTACATAATAACTATGGTTGTTGAAATAATAAATATAAATGGTGTTATGATGTCCCACACCATCATTCATTGTAAGTACTGAGAGAGGGCTATTTTTATCAAATTGCAAAATCCTCGCAGGCAAAGCCGCAGGTAACAGCCAGTCTTACAATAAAGAGCGAGATCGCTAATCCAGCAACATCTGTAGTTTCGTCAAGTTGAAAAGTAAATCCATGTTCAGAAGCTTGCAAACGTCTTATGAGCTCATTTTCACAATAATTAGACATATCTTCAACACACCTTTAAATTGTAGTATATGAAAGGGGGATACAATCAACTAATTAAGCATGTTCTTCCCCAATCAGGTAGTAACTACATCTTATACACATGGCGTAATTAATTTTCCTGAAATCGTATGAGCTTCACCCTGTTGAGCAATACGATAACTGACACGATACGATACTTCCGAAGCATTATCATTATCGTTTTTGACAAAGTTCATGAAGGTAATTTTTCTATTCTTCAATTCATTACATTTTCTTTTAAAATACTCAATACTTTTATTTTGTAAAGTTGGATGATTCGTTTCCAAATGTCTTTTCAGTTTTGCGGGATTTAAACTGCTGTTGTGCATCACATGTTCACATTCAATGCATAACCATTTTGGTTCATTTTCATTACCAATCCATGTAAAACCAAATTTTGTGTATTCTTCATTATACTTTTGCTTTTTACGAATGGGTATATCTGAATCACCAGACGACTTTTTGGTACTAACATCTGGTTCATTTTCAATAGTAGTAGTGAAACTAGTTCCCGCATCCATGGAATGATGCTTGCCAGTTTTCAACCACATATTCATTATTGCTACGGTAGTCTAATTAAATTGTAAATAAATAATAAGAGTTATCAAGGATAAGAGTTATCAAAATAAATGATGAGAGTTATCAAAATAGATACTTGTACGCTTGTACGTGATTGTATTTAACAGACAGAATGAGGTTAACAGAACTAATATGTGACGTCATTCATCTTGATTGCTGTATTTGAAGCACGTGTTTTTTACTGAATTTAAAGATTTTATTTTATCCATAAAATATTTATTTATATATACTTTTTAAAATCAACTTCCTTTTTATATCCAATTTATATTAATGTTGTAGTTTATACTTAAATATTATATTAATCTAATATTTTAGTAAAACAGCCCACTATCCCATTCCTACATAAAAAATTCCTTGTATACATGATTTCCATTTTATATGCATTTTCGCTGAGCAAATAGCGATCACTTGCGGAAGCCCAGGGAACCCTAGGGTTCCATGGAATTCAAGTTGAAGACCTCTGGTTTAGAAAGTGAGTACTGTTTTCTAAACCGAATCCATGTTTCCTCTATTTTGTTTTAATGAGAAAATTCATACTTAGTCTTTTTTGTTGTGGCACCTTAAGGCTTGATGACACCACAAAACTGTGTGTAAGAATTCGGACGCTAGTATAAATTTTCACACTAATGCGTCACATTTGAAGATGACTTTTATCGTCCGAAGAAAGACCCCCCTATCCAGGGGATTGCTTGGTTATGGGGTGACTGCATCGTTTAGATAAATATCTAATTGGCTGCAGCAGACAGAGGTTAATCCAGAAGGTCATCGGCGAAGGTAAAACAAAAACTTGTGATCCCCCATAAGTCCGAGTGACCCAATGAGAAATGACCAAAAAAGGCAATGAATTTTTTCTACGGCAGGGGAGATGGTAATAAATCTGGAGAAATGTCAAATTACGTCAACGAAATCCCAGATTTTTCCCACGAGAAGTGGGTATAAAAAGGGAACGAATTTGCTTCTCCGGGCAGTTAGCCGAGGAGCTAACACCGAAGCAACACCTCTGGACAGCTGAGGAAGACCTCTATATCGCCATCGAAGACCTCTACCCTGTCCATCGCTGCCTATCGCCATCCAAGGGAACTTCAATTGGAACATCAGTGACTGATCCCAGTGCGTCATACCAATGCCCTATACGAAGAGATCGCATACTACGAGGTAAACCATTGCCAAAATTCTGTCTCTCTCTCCAACGCATACCTCTTAGAGAGGTCTTTCTCTCTCGATCTTTAGCGTTAGGTTAGGTTAGAATATAGGATAGATTTTTATTTTATTACCCGTGTGTTATATTTATTGTATATTGTGTTATATTAAATGTTATTATTGTGTTATATTAAATGTGTTATATTGTATATTATTGTGTTATATTAAATGTGTTTGATATGTATAATCACTTATTTGTTTATTAAATGTGTTTGTATTGTTCAACTTGTGTAGTTATCTGAACACCTTGTAACGACTCCACTACCACTCATTTAGCAAAGCCATCCCTGACAACGAAGCCGGTAAGTGGGGAGAAGCGCACCGCTCTACCCCCTCGGTTCCCACCCCCTCTGACAAGGGTTTACCTTATAGTATGCGATCTCTTCGTATAGGGTGTTGGTATGACGCACTGGGATCGGTCACTGATGTTCCAATTGAAGTTCCCTTGGATGGCGACAGGCAGCGATAGACAGGGGGTAGAGGTCTTTGATGGCGATATAGAGGTCTTCCTCAGCTGTCCGAAGGGGTTGCTCCGGCGTTAGCTCCTCGGCTAACTGCCCGGAGATGCAAATTCGTTCTTTTTTTATACCCACTTCGCGTGGGAAAAATCTGGGATTTTTTCGTTGACGTAATTTGACATCTCTCCAGATTTATTACCAACTCCCCTGCCGTAGAAAAAATTCATTGCCTGTTTTGGTTATTTCTTGTTGGGTCGCTCGGATTTATGGGGATCACGAGTTTTCATTTTACCCTCGCTGATTACCTTATGATTAACCTCTGTCTGCTGCAGCCAATTGGATATTTATCTAAACGATGCAGTCACCCCATAAACAAGCGATCTCCTGGAGAGGGGGGTCCCTCTTCGGACGATGAAAGTCATCTTCGAATGTGATGCACTAGTGTGAAAATTTATACTAGCGTCCAAATTCTCACACTTTACACACTCACACTCACAGGACACTTTATTCATTCACTTTATTTACACTCAATTCTCACACTCACAGGACACTTTATTTACGACAAAGTGTCCTGTTTCATGCCTAACTAGCCTTAATGTTTAAAACTTTAGACTCAGTAAATTGAATAGTCTTAAATTTCTTGATTTTTAGAGGTAATTAAAATATCCAAATGTAACAAAGATGAAAAAAATTAAAACAGATTAATCACAATTTTTTTTATAATATACAGTATGAATTTATTCTGTAAGTTATTCACAAAGTAAACAACACTCTATTCTATAAAAAGTTGGGTAGACAATATTATAAATATTTTTGCGTTGTCAGATATTGAGAAACAACAATTATTCTTCGTTTTACAAACAACAAAGCATATCTATTGTCACTACATCTCCATAACACTCCAGAAAATGATAGATTACAAATTCATTTACTATTTGCCTTTCTTACAAAAAACTTCAGATTCTCAGAATTTCTGAAATTTTGGTCATCCAGATATCAGACTTTTATTGAATTAACTGTTTGAATCTAAAGACAGTATACGAAGGAAGCAGAGAAAATATTATTGAAGATAATAATGCTTAAAAATATTAAGTTATAATAACGAAGCTTAAATAAATGTGACTATAAACAGAGAAAAGTTGATCCACAATAAAAGAAAAAAGAATAATAAAAAATGAGGAAAATTACAGTGTGGATAAAATTTAGTAACCACTTTCGTTAAATACTGTACTGCATTTATGATATTGCAGATACCTAGAATACATAGGAATATTGAATATAAAGTGAAATTTGTTTTTATCATAATTCAGTGTTACAGTGGCTGAGATAAAGTCAAATATTTTTCGAAGAAAACTTATTTAGTGGCATTTCATTTAGGTAAGCAGTAATAAAATTAATTTCATTGTAAAAAAGGATAAAGCCAGCCATCTCAGAATTATTATTGTGAATTTTAAGTTTTGAATTTTTATGATAATATTTTTTAATGTATAAATTTCATATGTTATTTTTTAAAAACTTAAAAAAATTGTATTTTTTAGGTCATAATTTAGCAATGATAGTAATGAAAATCTTTCTCGCTGTTTTTTTGACAAAATACACTGTGGATAGCGTACAAGATGTCAATCCTAAAATGAGAGGTTTGTTTCTTGCTGCGAATGGATCGTTCGTACTAAAAATAAAAAATAGATTTTAAATTAAATCATAAGAAATGTCAAATAATAATAACGAATAAAAAACTATGTACATAGAAATGAAAATGTTATTAAAATTAAACACAGTAATTATTGAAATGTGAAGCGTGTTCTAATTATTTTATTTAATATTTTCAATTTATTTAACATAAATTGAAAAACGTACTGTACATATCAGTAGTATAGAGCCGATACACAATGCTTTATAAAAGTAATTTGTATAGGAATTTAATTTAAATTAATGAGACAAATGAGTATACATATTTTAAAAAATAAAGACAAGCACTACATAGATTACATTTTTAAAAATTGCAGCCTCTACTGTACACTCTTGGGCTATAAAATTAATTTGTATAAGAATTTAATATAAAGTAATGGTAAAAAATAAATGATTTAAAAATCTTTTTCTACTATACCTGAAGTGGCCCCTTCTGAACTAACCTGTGTGAACCCCACATCGCATTCTTTCGTTTATCTGATAATTCTTTCCTCATATGCTTTTTTTAGCAACATTTTTGTGGGTGATCATACGCTCCTTTTTTTAAAAAAGCTTAACTGTTTTTTTAATCAATAATGTAAGAAATATCGCGATATATTTCTGATGAGTAGATAATACAACTAATTACTAGATTTTTTAAAAAACGATTGATTCTTTAAAGAAGATTTAACTATTTTTTATTTTAAAATCCAATATAATGTTACAGATTTTTGAATTTATTTTAATTTTCTTCTTTTTCTTTTTCATCGAATTTATTTAATTTTTCCATTATATCATCAGCAATGTTACTGATATCCTAAAGTACGTGTATATAGACTAGGAAACAGTAAGAATTTTCAGCGATATATTTATGATCTAGTTTCTGATACAGTAGAACCTCGAAAACTCGACCTAATGTGGACCGAAGGGTGGCCGAGTTTGTGAAAATGCCGAGTTATCGGGAATGGGGTTAAAAAAAATAAGTACGAGTATTTCCTCAGAAAATACTGTACTGTACTTGTACAGTATTTACTTGTACAGAATATAACAGAGAATAAACTGCCCAAATACCCTTAAACAAAGGAAAAGTACGTCCTTTATGAAGGCATAGAGCCACTACATGAAAATGAAAATTAATGAATACACTGTGTACAGTAA